ACGGGCAGGGGTATGTCGGAGCCGCCGCGTTCCCGCACGGACCGCGGGAGAAGCTCCGGCACCACGTTTGGGTGCCGCGGTGGGGCCGAGGCTCGCGCAGCTCCCTCCTCCAGGAAGGAGCTTTTCCCAGCAGCCGCTGCCTTCCCGACCGCGCGGCTCCGAGCTCTGCAATGCAGCTCGCGCGGCTGCTGCTTGCAAATCCCATCAATATTTCATGGAGCTGCTTCCTCCAGGGGAAGGACGGCGATCTCTGCCTTTCCGCTCCTACCAGCGCTGCTGCTTTTGCAAAGATCTGATTCCCTTCCACCCAACATCCCCGCTTTTCCCCCCTTTCCTCATTAGTCAGCTCCGCTCAGCCTGTCAGGGGGGTCTGCACCGCACAAGGGACAAGAGCCGTGACGTCCCCTTGGGTCTCAGTTCAGGTCTGGAGCATCTTTTGCCTCCGTGCAGGTGGCACCAGCTCCGCAGGCGCTTCCAGCTCCGGCAGCACCGCGGGAGCGCGGCCCCGAGGCCGGGTTGGCAGCCTGCAAAATAAGTCGCTTTGCAGGCGCTAAGACCGCGCTATTAGAGCAAAGCTTCTTAAGGGCTCAAGCAGGAAACTCGCTCGCCAGCCGGGGCCTTATCCGAAGCGAGCGGTGCCAAGATGCCCTGGGAGCCGGGCATTGCTCTTCCCAAATGATCCACGGCGCATTGGGCACCGTGGGCATCGCCACAAGCGACAGTGCCCAGCAAGGGCCGGGGAAGAGCGCGGTCCCGCTCCCAGCAGAGCTGGGATGCCCCAGAGTCGGTGCGAAACAGCGGCAGGGCCGTCAACGCGGCGCTAAATCCCCCTACGGTAATTACCAAACGAGGCTGTTTCCCTGCCATCCGAGACGCGGTGACAAAACATTGCAAGTGCATCGAAATGGATGCAAGTAGATGGTGCCCCGCGGCTTAGGGTTTAATAAGCGGGGAAATGAGGTGGTTTCGTAACCCTAAACTGCATCTTGCAAAAATGTGACGCTTCCCACCCGGCGATGCCACAGCCGGAGCAGGCGGCAGCGCCGGGCGCGAGCAGATCCGCAGCCCTCCCTGCGGGAGGGCCTTGGAGGTGGCTTGGAAGTGCGGCCAGCTCCACCTGCGAGCCGGGACACAGGGCAAAGGTGCCGCAAATGGTGCAGCCCAGCCCCGGGAGAGCTGCGTTTGCTCTGCTTTAAAAGCTTCAGGGAGGACATCGCTCCAAATGGGCGATGTGGCCCCGAATGCACCCCCGAATGGGGGCATCAGCCTGGCAGGGCTTGGCACCAGAGACCGCCTCGAGGAGCTGCTGATCCGAATATCCAACCGGGAGCACAACTATGGCACACGAGCCCGATGCCTCCGAAGGGACCGGCCTCTTCCCTGCGCCCGCGATGCTGCAGACCACGTCCTGTCCCCGCATCCCGTGCGGAGCGCGGCCGCCGCGGGACTCCCAGCCTGGCACAGCAGGAGCCTCCCCGCTCCCGGCGCGGAGGTGCCCGTCCCA